TTTTCAGTTTGTATGTATTAAAATTAATATTTCATGTGTTAAAAACAATATTTTTTTCATAATTTTGGGTGTCTTGCACGGATTAATTTTATTTCCATTATTTGTTATGGGGAAAATTAATTCACATAGCGAATATTTCGTACAACAGCCAGCCCTCTTGCACGGATTAAGGTCGCTATGCGGGGGTCCACTGTATATATATATATATATATATATATATATATACAGTGGACCCCGGTTAACGATTTAATCTGTGCAAGAGGGGTAATTGTTATGCGAAATAATCGTTATGTGAATGAATTTTTCCCATAAGAAATAATGGAAATAAAATTAATCCGTGCAAGACACCCAAAATTATGAAAAAAATATTGTTTTTAACACATGAAATATTAATTTTAATACACACAAACTGAAAAAGGCATGCACACTTACATGACACTTACTTTTATTGAAGATCTGGTGATGATTGATGGGCTGGGAGGAGGGGAGAGCATTATATTCTTACTGTTTAGAAGGGGAATCCCCTTCGATTAGGACTTGAGGTAGTAAGTCCTTTTCTGGGGTTACTTCCCTTCTTCTTTTAATGCCACTAGGGCCAGCTTCATAGTCACTTGACTTCTTTTGCATAAGATATCTGTCCATAGTGGCCTGTACGTCTCGTTCCTTTATGACTTCCCTAAAGTGTTTCACAACATTGTCAGTGTACAGGTTGGCAATACGGCTTGCAATAGCTGTGTGAGGGTGATTTTCATCCATGAAGGTTTGCACTTCAAGCCACTTTGCACAGATTTCCTTTATCTTTGTAGTAGGCAACTTCTTCAATTTCTCTCTCCCCTCCTCTGAACCAGTTTCCCCAGGTCTGGCCTCTTGCTCTTGAAGTTGATCTATCAGCTTATCAGTGGTTAATTCTTCATTGTCCTCGTCCACCAACTCTTCCACATCCTCCCTACTAACCTCCAACCCCAATGACTTTCCCAATGCCACAATGGATTCCTCAACTGGTATACTCCTCTCAGGGTTAGACTCAAACCCTTCAAAATCCATTTTTTGTACACATTCTGGCCACAATTTCTTCCAAGCAGAGTTCAAGGTCCTCTTAGTCACTTCCTCCCAAGCCTTACCTATAAGGTTTACACAATTGAGGATATTAAAGTGATCTCTCCAAAACTGTCTTAGAGTCAGTTGAGTTTCTGAGGTCATTACAAAGCACCTTTGAAACAGAGCTTTTGTGTACAGTTTCTTGAAGTTTGCAATAACCTGCTGGTCCATGGGCTGCAGGAGAGGAGTGGTATTAGGAGGCAAAAACTTCACCTTAATGAAGGTCATGTCCTCATAAAGTCGCTCTGCCACGTCTGTAGGATGACCAGGGGCATTGTCTAACACCAGGAGGCACTTAAGTTCTAATTTCTTTTCAGTTAGGTAATCTTTCACATTGGGGGCAAATGCATGGTGTAACGATTTATAGAAAAATTCCCTAGTGACCCATGCCTTACTGTTTGCCCTCCACAGCACACACAAATTATCCTTGAGGACATTCTTTTGCCTGAACGCTCTGGGAGTTTCAGAGTGATACACTAATAAAGGCTTAACTTTGCAATCACCACTAGCATTGGCACACATGAGAAGAGTAAGCCTGTCTTTCATAGGCTTATATCCTGGGAGTGCCTTTTCCTCCTGAGTAATGTAGGTCCTGCTTGGCATTTTCTTCCAGAACAGGCCTGTTTCATCACAATTAAACACTTGTTCAGGTTTCAGTTCTTCACTTTCTATTTACTCCTTGAATTCCTGCACATATTTTTCAGCCGCTCTGTGGTCCGAACTGGCAGCCTCACCATGCCTTATCGCACTATGGATGCCACTACGTTTCTTAAATCTCTCAAACCAACCTTTGCTGGCTTTAAATTCACTCACATCATCACTAGTTGCAGGCATTTTTTTAATTAAATCCTCATGCAACTTCCTAGCCTTTTCACATATGATCGCTTGAGAGACGCTATCTCCTGCTAGCTATTTTTCAATTATCCACACCAATAAGAGTCTCTCAACATCTTCCATCACTTGCGATCTTTGTTTCGAAAACACAGTTAAACCTTTGGCAAGAACAACTTCCTTGATTTTCTTTCTGGTGCCCATAATAGTAGTGATTGGTTGATTAGGGTTTCTTGTACAACTTGACTAGGTTGGCGATATGCACTCCACTTTCATATTTATCAATGATATCTTTCTTCATTTCAATGGGTATTCTTACCCTTATTGGTATATGGTTGGTACTAGAAGCTTTCTTGGGGCCCATGGTCACTTATTTTCCAGAAATAGCACTGAAAACAATGTAATAATACGAAATATTGCGAGTGTATGCTTGGATGTTACCGCGGAGTTTTGCTGGTAAACAATGGCACGGGCGGCACATATGAGGCTGGCTGAGGGCGCACATTGGACGCGTCTCGGACGAAAATCGGTGAGGGGGTTTTTAATCGATATGTGCGGCAAAAATTTTGCGATTAAAGTAAGCAGTATGTGGAATAATCGCTATTTGATGCCATCGTTATGCGGGGGTCCACTGTACTGCATTTTTAAAACTCATCCAACCCTCTTCAACTCCCCCCCCACTACTCATATTTGCATCAGCCTACCTTTCTACCAATAGTTGCTTATTCTTCCTCCTCTCTTAGTTTATACACTTTCACTTCCCTCTTACTTGTTGTTGCCACCTTCCTTTTGTCCCATCTACCTCTTAGTCTAACTGTAACTACAAGTAAATAATGGATCCGATATATCAGTTGCCCGTCTATAAATGTGTACAATCCTGGAGGCTACCCATCAACGTTTTATCCACCAATACATAAAAGAAACTACTTTCATTATGTGCTACATCATATCCTCTTTTTCATAAAATATGTATTACTTATACACATAGCTCAATTATTAACTCCTTCTTTATCTCTAACTCTATTTGAAACCCCTTTATTCCTCTCCACTGAAACCGTCCCACCCCCTTTAGCTTTGTTTCACTTAAAGCCAGGACATCCAACTTCTTTTCATTCACAACATCCACGCACATTCGGAGTTTCCCACTTTGACAATTTTCTTCTTCTCATTCTTTTTAGTAATCTTTAAAGGAAAGGGGGTTTGTTCCCGGCATTTTAGTTGTCTTTTACAACACGCATGGCGTGCGGAGGAAAGATTCTTATTCCACTTCACCATAGATATAAAAAGGAAAGACTAAGAATTATGAATCAAAGAAAACTCAGATGAGTGTGTATAAATAAACGTGTACATGACCTAAGTGTAAGTAGCAAGACGTACCTGTAATCTTGCATATTTATGAGACAGACAAACACCGACCTATGATGTATTTATTACCACTGAATTACTGGTAAATTTTCTAGTTCAAAAAACCCTGTTCACTTGTCAATTTTCCCTTAACTTGACCTTTCTATTCTGGCATGACCAGAGACTTTTTAATCAACGATTTTATCTGTCCAAATCCCCCTCAATTCATAAAAATTTAGAGGCTAATTGTGGTTATTATAAATGTAGCTTCAGTCGTGTTGATTACAGTGTCGAAAAATTTAGAGCATAAAAAAGTCATTAAATTTTCATATTGAATTTGTATGAAATGTTATTTTGTTTAGTGTCAAAGTTATTTTCAATATTATTTTGAGGAAAGTTTGAGTGTTGTCATTGTAAATTGTGTAAATGTTGCTGTATTTTATAATGTAAAAGGTAAATGGAACTTTAGTTTGGAGTGCATACGAGTTTTTACAGTTACGTGCAGTTTGGTCGGTAGATTTTTTGGTCTGCGGATGTGAGAGAAATTGTCAGGTGAGTGGGGTGTCAAGGGATTGCCCCCGTGGCCCGCTGTGTGACCAGTCATTCCGGTGGATCCGAGCATGACGAACGGCCTGCCGTTACCGGTGGCTGCACGCAATCCAGCGTATTTAAAACCACACAGCCCGGCACCGATTTTAGGTGCTTGCATTCCAGGGGGAGTACTCACATTCAGGAACTTGAAGCACTAATTTTTATGTTATGTGCCGTGGAGGTTCTGTGTACGTTTTGTAGGTCAGCAAATTTGACCCGCCTTGAAAGGATCTTTTGGACTCCGGAGTCTGCTTTCCCAGGGCAGACCGGGTTTGTAAATAATATTCTTACCAACTTTTAGGACAAGTGAAAATTTGTGTAATTTCGCCAAAATCGTTCTTAACGTAATGAACATAAATTAATTTCACTGTGTTTTTTATTATAATTATTATTGTAATGGATTTCAAATTTGAATAAATGAAATCGCGTTTCAACGAATAAACAGCACTTTGTATGAAAAACATTTTTAAAAAAATTGGGGGAAGTTTTATTTTTATTGTTTTGGACTGAATTGTGTGTAGAGAATATCTAATTTGAATTTGTGTTAATTTTATTTTAACAAGAATCAGGTCGTGATACGGCCACGCCACACTCTGAACATTTTTGTTGTGAATAAAAATCATAAAATGCACCAATTATGAAAGAGGGGAGTAGAAAAGGTTCACTTCCCAGGTTTTAATGTTTGATCATTTGTGTACATGTTATAAAGATTCTAATAAATTTGAGGATTTATGAATATCAGGCATTCTAAAGTTTCATATTGTTGTTGCCTCTGACGTGATCTTCGATTAACAAAAAATAAACCATAAAAGTTATTATAATAAATTTGTCACTATGATTGATGATGACGTATTTTACAACTTATTTATATTAACTTACTTTTATTTTAATAAATTGATTTGAATTATTTTACTTTCCTCATCCTTGATTGTGATAAAAGTTGTTTTCTCATATTTGAAATGTTTGTTTTTACACTTGTTCTAATTACTTAATACATTGATTTTGCTTACTGTCCCCCTAAGGAAGGGTTCCTTGATGTTGGTGAGGGTCTTGATTTAGGGAATTGGATCTGTGCTCCACTTCCCCGAATTAAGCCTGAATGCCTTCCACATCCCCCCCCCCCCCCCAAAGCGCTGTATAATTCTCCAGGTTGGGCACTTCCCCCTTCATTATAATAATTTCTTATTGTCAGTCATCATATCTATTTCAATTAAACATTCAATTCCTATTTTGATCATTTCTATCTTTTATTACAAAACATTCTCAGTATGTTTATTTGCTTCAAACATGTTATTTCAATTTATTGTCGTCATTTTTGGCCTCATTACTAAAAATCATTTGCTGTAATATTAACTTTTAATTTACCATTGCTAATACTGCACCTAATCTCAAAATTAATTTCTCTATTCACATATGACATTTCCACTTCATTATTCTCATGACATTCATTACTTTGAATACAATATTGTGCAAAAAAAAAAAAATAACAAAAAAATATATTGACTATTAAACTTATTCAATTAATTCTATCATTTTAAATATCTTTTACAAATTCTTCACATTCCATTAATGCTAATTATTTTTTTTTTCTATTTTAACAAACATTTTCATAATGTTTAATTTCAAATTTCTCTAGATAACTAAATCTAATATTTCATTGGTCAATTTCCATAACAAATAATTGACTTTTTAACATTCTCAACAATTTTCAAATACACAAAAAATACAAATATTTTTTTTTTTTTATTACAAAATTTCATTACAATATATCATATATATGCCTCATATAACGTTTCTTCATTTTGTGAATTGAATCGAAACTAAATTTCCCACAAGCTCTATAATCCTACAACTTCCCCTTCATTATAATAAACCCTACAAAACATAACTAATCTATTTATTGATATCATGTTTCACAAACAATGTTACTAACCATTTCACAGCGACAAATAAACCCATCCAGAGTACATGAATACCCGGTATTTCCAAAACACAAGCCTCAACGTAATGACTCAAACACCACAAACGTATATAAACTCCCACATTATATATACACTTGCAGTCATATTAACAATGAAAAGTCTGGGATGCGACCTTCATCATTAATTATGTTTGTAGCTATTAGTCTAAACTTGGTCTGGACACCAGCAGTATCTTCACTCCTTCAGTGATTAAAGTCAATATGGCTTTCATAATGCTCACTCCACAATTCACCAAAACCTATTATACCTCACTTACATTCAATAACTAATTATCTTCAAATAGTCTAATAATTGATTAATTCCCTCCCTCTAACATGATCTACATCAAATTGACCAACGCCGCTGTTGCTGCCGCCATCACCGCCACGCACGCTTCCAAAAACCTATAAAAATAAACTGATATTTTACATTTCAATTATAAACAATTTTCTCAGTAACTAACTAACTTTAACAAATTCAATTATTCCAGTTTACATAACCTATTCAAACTTTGACCAATACTTCATCAATTTACTAAACTACTCTTACAAATTACTCAAAAATAAGAGTTAATATTTTGAGAGACGTTCAATAATTATTAATTTCATTATATTACTTAACACTATTACACTCAATCCATAGCTACATAATAACCATATATCATCTCTTTCAAATACTTGATTCTAATTCTTAACATCTATTAAAATATTTACTGTTTATTTACTTTAACTTCATCTTAAGCCTCACCATTAATACTATGCATAAAAGGCCCTTTGGAATCTTATCTTATAAAATAACTCACTCGATTTCTTTGTACTTCTATCATCAAATTAATAATTATATTTACTTAATATCTGATTTCTTAAACTAAAATTATTAATACTTAACTTTTCACTATTAGCTCCTCAATTCTCTCCGCCTCTGCTAATCAGTACAAATCAATCACCATATCAAAAACTCTCGTCCTCCATCTCTATTAACCTGCAACAAAAAAAAAAAAAAAAAAATTACTTACTAATACTTACAAATATAAACATTCATTTAAAATACATTACTGACATTTCACTCAATAAAAACTCATTTTTTACAAATTAATATCTAATACAAATAAATTATCAGATACTACATGTATACCTGCCATTATCTCAAAAATATTTAATTTAACAAGTATTAACACCTCAAACAACAAATGTATACATAACTCCCACATTACATATACACTTGCTCTAAAATTAATAATGACAAGTCTGGGATACGACTATCATTATTTATTCAGTGTTTCAACCCTAAATGCACAAAAAGTTACTTTATTTTCCAGACGCTCATCAATAAACAATAATACTCAACTTTAAATAAAGCACTAACAGCTCCCTTCACTCAGTCAGTCTTCCCGCTAAAACATCATCACACTCTGCCTCTACACAACAATCATTGATTCAATCAGCCGCCAATTAGTCCTCACCTTCATATACCTGAAATACAAATAAATATTACTAAACATAATTATTTTCAACACTTATAAAAAATAAAACCATAAATACACACCTTACAACATTAATTCCTTCTACTCGCTGCCTCTAACAAAGTCAGTCACCCCATAACCTCAAACCTGAAAAATAAAAACATATCCATTAATAAACAATATATCAACAATTATTAACAAATATTTTATATTTAAAAGAAATGTTAATACACGCCTTTCAATAATAACTCATTATACTCACTGCCTCAACCAAACTCAATCGAATCCTCTCTACAACATTCAATAATATTGATATTTCTCTCATCAAATCCCTATAATTTTCATATACAACTCCACTACACATATTAAGACTTCAAAACACCACAAATATATACATAACTCCCACATTACATATATACTTGTTCAAAAATTAACAATGACAAGTCTAGGATGCGACCCTCATTATTTAGTCAATGTTTCAAGCTTTAATACACTCTAAACTAAATTTATTGCTCAATCCATAATTATCTTCAACTAAATCTACTCCATACATAAATAGTTAATCTTTACCAAAAAAATTTAAACAAAAAATAACTTTACTCATCTTAAACATCACAACTAATAACAACCTTTACTCAGTCTTCCATCCAATACCTCGGCAAAACCAAAACCTGCAACAAATATTTCAAATATTTTATTTACTATATTAAATAATTTATAAATAAATATCTACAAACATTTCACATTATTTCTTCAAACATTGTCACTTTAAAAATTAACAACAAATACATACAAAAAAATACAGCACATAAAAATCGGTCGGTCACTTCCTCAGACGTAAATTCTTCATAACCTTCACCAACCTGAAATATAAAATAAATTCATTAAACATATCAATTATAACACTTCAAATACATTCACACTTGCCCCATCGAACATCTTAAACTTACTTAAAATAATTATACATATTATTAAAATATATCAATACCCACCATTATAAAAAAAATATATAAACAAAAAACTCAATTACGCATATTAAGACTTCAAACACCACAAATGTATACATTACTCCCACATTATATATACACTTTTCCTAAAACTAATAATGACAAGTCTAGGATGCGACCTTCATTATTTGATCCGTGTTTCAAACCTTAATACAAAGTTATTTTTGTCTCCTCAAACAAAAACTATCTTCACCCCCGGAACACTACTCTCCCTATAACTCTCAAACAAACAATTTACACAAACATAAAACATTACTTATCTTAATACACAGCAGCAGCATAATCACCACCAACACTACCACCACCAGCAGTACTCTACACTTGCTTCCTATAACAAACTCCGTCACTCACACTTGCCCGCCAATTCATCACCAACCTGTAAAATAAACAAATAATTCAAATACATTGACATTTCTCCCAAGAAAAATTCTATAGTCGATATATAAGTAATATCTACTTTACTACCATCACCTTCCTTAAACACTATAATCATTTCTTTTTCTTTGTTAGTATTTTTTCAAACTATATATATACACCAGATATTACGTCTAAAATACCACCACCTCCTCCCCAAACATTAACACCTCAAACACCACAAATGTATACAAAACTCCCACATTACATATACACTAACTCAAAAATTAACAATGACAAGTCTGGGATGCCATCTTCATTGTTTATTCAGTTTCAAGCCTTAATGCAATCAATCAACACTGACTTCCCTAAAACAATATTACTCATCTTAAACACAATAGCCACACAGTCAGCCCTCAGTCCTCGCGCTAATAAACACCTCACCACAACCTGAAATAAGAAAAATTTATGTCAACATTTCTAATTATTTCAAATATTAATACTTACAATATTAACCACATACCACTCCACAATAGCCGCCAATCACCCACACTACCGTCAACTCACTTCAACCTGAAAAAAAAAAAAAAAATATTTACATCTCTCTACATGCCTTAAACAAAATTCAATAAACAATTTACATAATCAAATATTACTCATCTTAATACACAACCTCAACTTCCATCAACCTCTAACAAAAAAAAAATAATTTAAAAACGTCAAATTATATAAATCAAAATATTAACATTCAAACTGATCAAAAAAATACTCACTAGTAATTATAGTGGCAGACACTAACTGCCAAGCGTTTCTTCAAACTTCACCAATAACCAACATCACAGTCAACAATTTCTCAACGTAACAAATAAATTCTCTTAAACACAACTGCACTTCAGTGGATACTCTCCTTCAACTTACCACTCATTCCCATCATAATCGACTTAGTTATTTGACATTATTTTAATAACACTACATTCTCACAAACATATCAACACTCCTTTTTCTACCAAATACACAGACCATGTGTCCGCTCCATCACCTCCTCTTGGTTACTTACATTCACTCAGTCACTTAGCAACAGCTTCACTAATATTGTCCAATAATGACAAGCCCCTCTTTATGCTGGCAATAATAACATTAAGGGAAATAAATCAAATAAAACTCCTCTCAAAATATAAATCACCTAAACAAATATTTACACACGCCTAAAGGAAATATGCCATTCATACCTACCACCACCTTCAACCAAAATTTACATTATCTAATTAATGCACATCTACGCCAATTGCTAGAAATTGCTGACAAGACAAATAAAACAAACTTAAAATCCCATTCATTAATAACTCAGACATATTCTTTGAAAACAAAAATTAATTTATGAAATCCCTTCATCTCGCTGGAGATAAAATCCTTTTATTATTATTATAATCAAAAAAGAAACGCTAAGCCACAAGGACTATACAGCAATCCTTCTATTACAAAATTCAATTAACACGCTAACTCATGACTTCTAGGAATTTCAACCGATACATTATACAGCTATGACTAGTTCTGCAAAATACATAAATCAATCAATCTACTTGCAGTCTTAAAGTTATAAACAGTTATTGCTTTCTTATTACATACATACCTCAGGGATACCTTTAAAATATAATATTAAAAATATAATTTTTAATAATGCTAAATCAATTCAATAAATAAATGACAATCGTTAAAGACTAAATGACTATCTCCCTTAACGTTTACAATATAAACCATTATAAATCTAACAAGTAAAATATACCACCCAACATTAATTGCAACTTAACCTAATATACATATTAATAAAACAGACTCCTAGTTCAACCTCAAACAAAAACGCCTTTCTAATGCGACATACAACATTATAAACTATTTCACACTTAAAGCATCAACAGCAACGTTCTTGCCATACCCATCTATGCATGTCTCATTATTTTCTTCTTACACATGATATAACATTATAAACATCAAACACACATTCGGCTTCGCTACACTTTCACAACAGTCGTGACACTCATTTTCCCCTGTAATTTATAGGCATCTAAACTTTGACTGATAGATGACAGTACAGTAGACTTATGGTACTAAATTCATAAGCCATCTACATATGAAAATCCCATTATAATAAAACATTTCAACTTTAAAAAATTTATTACAACTATCATACGAAAAAACAATTCGACTAATAAACTAACTTGATTGATTTATACTCAAGATTGTTTTTTTCATTCTAATAAAAACAAAATAGACAAAACAATCTGCTTCTGCGCAATAAAGTCACCAATTCATATTCTTAATGTTAATGAATCATGACCTTGCCCAAAGTCATCACAAACCACAAGCTTTCTTTCAATGTATCATGCAATCACCCAAATAACTACTGCAATCAAATCTCCCTCGGTCCCATATTTTCACTTCACTCACTTCATCAGACTCGAAAATTACCTACGTACGTTAAATTACCCTGTCCTGAATAAGGGTAAAATACACACATACGTCGTCATCTTGTTTAATAATATCACATTTTTCAAAGCATACCACTAACGGCAAAGAAAACTTTTATTCAGAGTAATCAAATTAAATCAAACAAAATTCATCCCAAATCCATCAGCAATAAATTCAAACATCTCATTCATCAAAACACGTACAGACATATATATACTTATAAAAATAGAGAATCCACACTTTACTAAAATCTATTCAAAAAAGGAATTATCACGCTAAACTCACAAAGTATTCAAACACTAATCAAAAATATTTCTTCCACATATACAAAACTAACATTAGCAATAACATAGATAAGCACAATTAACAACATCACTGACTCATAAGTATACTTAGAAATTTCTCAATACCTACTTCCTCTCACTTTTCACCTAGGAAATTAATACCCATATTCTTGAAATAACACATTATGTACAACACGACGATAATAAATTATAAAACATTACGATAACTACAGACATGCTCCTCATACAAATAAACAAATAAATCCACACACAATCAAATATTGCTTTGCAACCTTCTTCAAAGTATGTAAAAATAAAAAAATTAACATACCTTTACCTATTCTTCAACATATCAATCAATAAAAACTGCCACACTTCCTGACAAGTCGAAAATGGCGAATGTAACACCTACTTATAATCCACGTGACAAATCATTACCTTCCAATAAACCTCATCTCCATGACAATTTATAAAATTACTCAATGTAATCAAAACAGTATGTATATTACACTATTGGAAATATCTTTCTGATCATCAACATACCGTGTCCTAAGCTTAAATTTAGATTCATGCTTATTTGTCTAGGTTCAGTGAACAATGCTATGACCATGCCTAATATGATCAAAGTTAAATAGAGGGGGGGGGGGGTAATGCGTACTTCACCTGCACAAAAATGTGCCTAATTAATGTCTATATTGGACATGGAGATGCAACGAGGCTTAATAAATTAATTTATTCCATATTTTTTTTTCTTATTTAAGCTAATGGGCATTTATAACACTGATATAACTTTTAAATAAATTTACAAAATCTGGTGATATTACGTATCAACTTCTGCATATATAAGAATATGTAATATACGAGTCCGTGATTATATCATATGTAATCCTCTCATGGATAACGGCATCCATAATTATAGAAACGGTTTTTAGTTATATAGTCATAATAACTTCAATCTCATGTTCTTTTTTCCATATATCATTTGTCATCTTGATATAATCTATGCATCTTATACTAAATATGAAATTTCTTCTCGTCAAGATAGTATGTTAAAGGTTCAAATCATTTTGATTATTCCTTCCTGCGTTCAAACAATAGTATGATCTGCAGTCAAAGAGGGAGGGGGGGGGGGGTTGTGGGTGTACTGCTCAAATATATTTTATTACATATACTTTAATAAAGTCTATATCGCTGATATGAAAACAAGTGAAATTTGTCTTTAAATACCATTGGTCTATACTTCCAAGCCAAGGACCTGTCACCAAACTTAAATACGTATTACTACAGTTGCCATTTTCCACTTATCAGGCACTATGCCAATGTGTATTGATATGTTAAAAACATTAGCCAAAGGTAGCCAAAGTTCCTCTTTACATTTCTTTAACACCTTTGCAAACACTCCAGAAGGACCTGGCGATTTCTTGCCTTTCAGCTTCTCTATTTGTCCGAGGACCATGCCACTAGTTACCGTAATCGTACATACTTTATTATCCTATTCGACATAATCCATTATTTCTGAAATTTCAATACTATTTTCCTGGGTGAAAACTGACAGCAAGTAAGTACTATTTAAAATTTCAAACATATCCTTATCAATGTCACTCATCTGACCACTTACTCTCAAGTGATCCAATCTTGTCCCTAATCTTACTTCTGTATATCTGAAACAACACTTTTGGGTTAGTCTTTGAATCTCTTGCCACATTAACCTCACATTCCCTTTTTGCCTTTCTTATTCCTTTCTTTATTTGAATATATTCATTTCTAAACTGCCCATCCCCTCTTTTCATAATACTATATATGTCTCTTTTCACAAATGACTTAATCTATTCTTCATCCATTTACCATCATTTTGGTTACATTAATTTCCCTACTCCAAACAAAATTTCTCTGGGCACCTACACTATGCTCTGAAAAATGTCATATTGATAGCCATCACCACCTACCTGACCCATACTCACATCCCAATTTATCCCACCCACTTCATTTTTTAGTCTCATCAAGTCCGCCAAACGAAAATCTAAGACATATTTGATTGCACCAGTTAGTTATTTGGGTAATTCCATGATATAGTCTAACTAAGGGATTTGTCATCACTTTCCCTAAACTCATCATTAGCCTCAACATTATTAATTACTCAATCTTTGTTGGTAAAAACAAAATCAAGCACATTATTTCCTCTAATTGCTTCTGTCACAATCTCCTCGAAAAAGTAATCCTGAACCGTGTCAAAAAAAGTCGCTAGACTCAACATTACACGTCATATTGGTAAAATCAATTTCTCTAAACTTTAAATCTCTCATTATCACAACACTTCTGTATCTAAATGCCTTATCAATTTCCTCCCATAAAAGCTTACTGCACTCCCTATCAACGTTTAGGGGGAGGGGCCTATAAATCACACAAAAAATTATTTTGTCACGTCCCTCGACAAACAGATTCAGTATTCCATCTTTCTAATCTTATATCATATCTAAGAATTTTAATTCTCTCTGACCTACATCGCCACTCCACCACCCTTCCTCTTGACCTTATCACTGTGGAATACTTTATAACTGTTGCATTCGTAAGGTATTTCTCTATCTTTCAACTTTAACTACGTCTCTTATACTACCAATAATACCTATATTGCCTACACTTACAAGTAATCTTACCTCATCCATCTAATTTCTTACACTCCTACTATTTCTATAGTAAACCTTAAAAGACCTAGTCACTCGTTGCCCTCTATCTTTCTTCATCAATTAATTTACCATTACTAGCAACTTCATTTTCAACATTGTTTTTTAAACATATCCATGAGGTATCCCCGTAATAACCGTT